AGTATTTCAAAAAATGAAATTTAGTGTTATTTTCTTCTCGGATTTCGACTTCAAGAAGATGAAGATAAGGAGTCAATCTCTATGGTATCTTTGAGTGTCTCAAATTACAATCAATTTCTTAATGAAATCTGAACTAGGTTTAGATTGATAAAAATAGAATGCTTAAAACACAGAACGACATATTGTTTTCTAGAATGGCCACAACTCTGGATTTTGACTTTGTCAGTGATAGCCAAAATAGACTTCACCAGGGAGGGCTGCAGCGAGGTCTGGAACCGAGTTTACATGATCGCCCCAGTTAAGAAATTTGGCCTAGTGAGACTGAGTACCATTTTCCTTTAAAACAAATATCGCGGAGAATACAGACATGGAAGGACGACGAGGTTTTGCTCGGTTTGAGTTTTCCGGCGTCCAAACATCAAGAAAACGTTTTCAAGAACATTTTTAATGGAATTTTTGGACATCAGGAGGCGTGATGTATGAACAGTTTAAGGGTGACTACACTTATCGTGGTTCGGCATCTCGCCAAGTTCAGTTATTTATCAGCTTCGTGAATTTTCGAGCAACCAGCCTAGTCTTTATCTCTTATATTTTTCCACCTACAGTGGTATTAAGAACTCTCTTTCTTATCCTAAACACATGCTACGAGCTCACTATATTAGTACCAGTCATGCAACAGTCATATGGGAATGATCATTAAACCAATTTTATACTTCACGTTTCGTAAGTTTGTTTGTAAACCGGGAGCCACAACAAATATGTATGGGCGAAAATACAGAATATAGGACCAGTTTAGTACAAGCCAGGGTAAATTTTCCAGTCACTTTGCTTCACATATACTGGGTCTGTCAGTATAAGCTATTTTTAATATCAGAAGGCTGGGAGGGGTTTACTGAACCTTCAAAACCTTCACTGGAATGTCACTGGAGTGATAATCAATAAATTTCCAACAGCAGTACTGTATTTAGTAGTTTTATATTAGATAGTGACTTCGGTTTCAAGTATTTCCTTGAAATTGTTTGTAAAAAAATTACCCTGTAGTTCTGAATTTTACTTGAAATGATTACAATGGTTTAGTGTGGGGACAAGAGGCTTATCCAGTTGCTAATAAGAGTGAGTACATCAGAGAGGGGTATTAATTTAAGAAAATCCCTCAAAGGACTGAACTACAAGACAGAGAAAAAAGAATTGAATGTTTTGCAACGTTTATAAAGAGAATCAGAAGGAGCTTGAAAAATGTACAACTTCAATTGTTTGTGTAAGTTATGAATTTGATTTACAACAAAAACAAACAAGGTAAAATTGATTTTTTATCAACCATCAAAAGAAGTTAGTGTCCCTTAAGCCCAGTCCCCTCAGCAGTTCTTTCTATGATACTACCTTTGGCTTATTTGGCCTAGATGGGTATGTGCTGCTGATTTAGGGTGGGGACCATTTCACCCTTAGAGTTTTGAACAGCGTGTCTGTTTGGGCTGTGAAGGTTGATGAAGAGCAGTCTATACACAGTTACATTTTTTGTACCACTATTTTTCCCCTAGTTTTTTCCATGTTTCTAAGTTTAAAAGCTAACTTAATTCTGTATGCTAAATGAAATGAATCAGAATTATAAAATAAGGTCTCTTGGCTTAAAAAGGGTAGGGAAATAAACAATGTGTCCTACTACCCTTACTCTCTTTGAGTGAAAGCCCAGGGAGGTAATCTCACATTTTAATACCCTTTTACCACTTGTTGTAACAGCAAAGTCAGTGAATGTTTATGGTCTCTGAGAAAGGTTTTGGCTGCCTCAACACAAGTTTCTAACTGTTATTGTTAACTACAAATAAATATATTATCTTAATAATATGATTTTACATTTTTTTCCAAGGCATCCTATGGTGTTTTTCATATTCAGGTACAAGGCAATTTTTAAGTTGAGAGGATTTGATTTCATTAACTACATTTATATACAGACACAAACTAACCTGGCAGGTTGATGTCCAAAGGTGTAAAAAATTACGCTGTGGCTATATGGCCGGTAACCGGTCAAGGTTTTCAAAACACTAAATGACCGGCAGTCCTATATTCTCAATAAATTTGACAAATCGAAAAAATCCATCTAATCTAGACTATCATATGTCGATTAAGAAAAGTCAAGCGATCCTGAAACACTTTATAGATCTCAAGTTTAGTGTTTGGTTTACGCTGTGCTCAGAAAACGAAACCATGTTTCGTGACACTTAGAACTTTTTGCAGCTTCCTCTTTCCTCTTTCCTCTTTCCCCTTTCCGCTTTCCGCTTTCCTCTTTCCTCTTTCCTCTTCCCGCTTTCCTCTTTCCTCTTTCCTCTTTCCTCTTTCCTCTTTCCTCTTTCCTCTTTCCTCTTTCCTCTATCCCCTTTAAAGACCTATCTAGGAAAGATCGAAGCGACTCTGCTAGCAGGACTCTAGAAAGGTAGACTGCCGGTCATTTATCGTGTTTTGACAGTCTTGACCGGCAGTCGACCTGAAAAAAGTTCTAAGTGTCACAAAACATGGTTTCGTTTTCTGAGCCCAGCGTAAAACAAACGCTAGACTTGAGATCTATAAAGCATTTCAGGATCGCTTGACTTTTCTTAATCGACATATGATAGTTTGGATAGGTTGGGATTCTTAGTCGATAAGTCAAATTTATTGAAAATACCGGACTGCCGGTCATTTAGTGTTTTGAAAACCTTGACCGGTTACCGGCCATATAGCCACAGCGAAAAAATTACATGCAACTGTATGGCAAAAACTGATCACAGTGGCCAAAGGAAAGGCAAAAATAGAAATGTCACCATTTTCCTGACTTTATAAATTCCCTTTGAAGCATATTTAGCCAGATGTGGTCCTTGTCAAAACATGCAAACTTGAACATTTATTTTCTGAACCTAGCTAATTTCATCTTTTTTAAACCATGAGGAAATTTTTGACAAGGAAATAACACCTTTGCCTGTCGTTAAGGACTTGGGTGTTCTTCTCGACACACGCCTCAGTTATAACCAACATATCACTGAGACTGCCTCGAAATACCTTTTTAAATTGTACCAAATTAACAGAATCAAGCATCTCCTGGATAGGAAAACACTTTTGTTAGTAATAAATTCATTTGTCTTTAGTAAACTCCAATATTGTTCAACTGTCTGGAGTAATACCAGCAGCAGCAATATTGACAAGTTACAAAAAGTCCAAAACTTTGCTGGACGAATTATTCTGGGACTAAGACAGTATGACCATATTTCGGATGGGTTGCAATCGTTGAAATGGCTTCCTATTAGAGAGAAACTCATTCTAAATGACGCTACTATGATGCACAAATTTATTAACAAGCTTGTTCCAGACTATCTTGCTGATATGTTTAAATCACGTTCTCAAGTCCATAATAGACAAACTCGATCATCTGGTGCTTTGGATATACCTTTATGTCGCCTGTCAACAGGGCAGCGCTCCTTTGCTTTCAGAGGAGCCAAACTCTGGAACTCCTTGAATGATAATATTAAGTCCTTAAAATGCCCCAGGAATTTTAGGCGTCATCTTGCAAATGTTTTATTAAGTTGATATATTTTTTGTAATTATAATATTATTGTACAAACATTCTTAATTAATTTATATAAATTTGTATTTTTTATTCTATTGAGCTGAAAAGCCCACTTAGAGAGCATCAATAAAGTGTATGTATGTATGTATGTATGTATCTCGTTCCAAGGCGTTAAGTGTAGTTTTTGGAATTTATAATTTTTGCCTCTTTGTTTGCAACAGAACACACTTGAATGAGGACTCAAACTGAAAGCAGTGTAATAACTGCTGTCATGAAAAGAGAATTCCAAACAAATAATAATTACCCTTTCATTTGCGTAAGATTCATTTGTTAGGACTACGGTAAAGTTTAAGTTAAATCACAAGAAGAACGAAATTAACTTAAAAATATAAACATCTGCAAAATCAAGAGAGAATGATCTCGTGGCAAAATTTATTTAGCTTCTAGTACATAACGAAATGCATGAACTACGAGATTTGACCATGCCACTCAATCATCTAACGCAACTCTGCCAGGATAAGTTCACAATAAAGGATGTAAAATTAAGAATCTCAATCATCATTTCTTCTTAAAGGTGTAGTAAAACCGTAAACAACTCTGACAACTCTTCTACTCGACCACAGCCACCGCACTTGTTTTAATATCGCGAAGAATTAATTTTGGGCCTTTCACTTGAAAATATAAACTCTACTACATGCGTATTGGAAGGCTGGCCCTTCTTTTAGTGTTGTGGGTCTTCTAAAATGAAACACATAGTCAAAAGGTCGGACATCGAGGAACTCTGGGTTCACTATGACAAACGCAAGACCAGAGAGGAAAACGTAAGCTCCACATTCCCGCGAAAAAAATTAGGGACGATCATGGAAAGCCGAAAAGCGGCAAGATCAGAGGCCGTTTCCAGCCCCCCCTGGACTTCACACTTGTCAAAACCCTTTGAAGAATATGAAACGTAAACATTTTGCAGCATTTAGTTACTGCAGTTTACTTTCAATGAAGTCTCCTGGCTTTCTGCTATTGACAGGGACACCTGTATTGACGGGGACTTAACCATGGGGACTACAGGGTCTCCAGACGCAATGCAACTCTAGCAGGAGTTGACGTAAGTTTCCAGCACACCATAATCACAGAGCTAATGGAAAACCGTGACGAGAAAAGTTTTGATGTAAGAGCATTTCTCTCTTAAACTTTGTGTCATGACATTCAAAGTGTACCCGATTGGTAAAGTACTCACATGTCTTTCAATTAACGACAGATAAATTTAGAATTTTTTTTTTTTTTTTTTGAGAAGAAAATGATTCTTACGTATTATTCTCTCCCCGATACGTTGGGCCAACGGGAGAGGCTGTATGTTCCTATCAACGGATATAACATCCAGAGGATTAGGCGAGATGACAAGCAATTCCTTCCTATTCACTGCTCCAATCGGCACAGAAATCACCAGAATTCCACTTTCCTCTATAGGCCTCACTGCCTTTTCAAGGCTGTTCTTATCGGCAGAAGAACTTATGTCTGTCATAACAACTAAGGCCTTCCGATTGTTGGATTCGCCCAAAGCGGTATTTTGGAAGGCAACGAGAGCTTCTTCTAGAACCTTGATCAAAGGTTCCGACGCACCCACGGCTCGTCGGGCGGGCCTAGCGGCAGCATTAGACTCGTTTGCACCGAAACTGAAATCGACCATTTTCAACACCCCATCAACGTAGGCAATGACGTAATAGTTCACATATTCATATTTTTCAATGAATTGTTTTGCAGTGGTTTCCATTAGAGCGTACGTTTCGTTTGAAAAATCAGATGAGGCAATGAGTGTAAATACGATGACGATGTATGTGCGGTTGATTCCTGAAACAAACAATAAACAGAGGAAAACATAAATGGTTTGAAAGGAAGACATATATCATTTTATAAATGTATCTTGTTTGGCCACCCCTCCCTAAATTTCTCTTAACTCTTTAAACCGTGGGATCAAATTTTGAATTCTCATTTGTTGCCCCTATTCATTTCCTGCAAAAGTCATGGGGAGAAGTTGATAAAATATCAAACAAATTCCTCTTGAGTGATCATTTCCTTAATTCTCATGACCACTCTGTTTTACAAAGCATTGATATTACAATGAGAAATTTGATGCTGATCACTCTTAGGGCTTAAAGGGTTAATTCTGCCTTTCAGTGGAAACAATTACCATTTATGCGAAAATATTAAAACTCCAAAACATGTTATGCAATTTTATCATAATTTCTCGTGATAAAGAGTGATAGATCATCTGGAACGGAACATTATAAATAATCTGAAAGAAAAACACAATTCCCTTCCTCAAAAATAACGAAATAATTGGCATTATCATTTGATACAAATTTTTCTTCCTTTTCATTGGCCAAAAGCCCACCGCGTGACCTGCAAAAGCTGCCTACAAATAATGGTCTGCTCATGCGCAATGTCGCCTAACTGTGTTTGGCTGCAAATAATTTTCCGCTCATGCGTAAAATAAAACTACGCCTTGCTTCTTCTTGCAATCGTTCTAAGGCGAAAAACTCGGCTATTGAAAAATGTCGTGATTTGTCAGTGTATCGCACATCCATTATTTGCCTCTGCCATACTTGGTCTGCTCACCACTGACAAATTATATACGATATTTTTCTCAACCTTGTCCAATAATTAGAAGTTAAATGGTTTAATCACCCGTTAATGTCTTTATTTTCCGTGTATTTCTAAAATGAAAGAATAGCTCAAGATACCTATTAGCGGTTATCCATAAGAGCTTTTGAAATCTACTTTGGAGGTCTAATTATCAGCAAAGAGGAGCAATAAGAAACACAAGACACTGATATTATTCCAATATCCCCAGACGGTTCCTACAATGTTTTGTTTTTCGCTCTTTTTTTTTTTTTGATGACCAATCCTCTTCCCCTCTCTCTAGATAATAATGTATCCTTCACAGGAAAAACAACAAAGACCTAACCTTTGCTTAGGTAGTGTGAAGACGCTGGATTGTTGCGATTCTGAAGCATACTCCCGTTTTCAAGGGAGTGTGCCAAAAATGTTGTTGTTGTTGTCATTACGTCGTAGCACAGGCTTCCAAAACTCAATAGTGAGCGTATGTTAAAAATTAATACATCTGCGTTTTATAGAGTTTACGTGGAAAAATAACAAATGGGAAACAAATGTCGTCTCATCTTACCTTATCTTGTAGAAAAGATTTAAAATAAACTTACCTGTTGCTGTATTTTGTGTTCCTGTGTCGTTTTAAAAAGCGTTTGGGCTGGTTTTGCTGCCCTGCTTTTTGTTATTTTTCCCATATTAACGCTATAAAACGCTACGTTAAGCATGCATTGTTAGCAGATGTGTTAATTTTTAACGTGCGCTCACGTCTGTGGTCATAGTGGCAGTATCTGAGGTTATTATAAATATTACCTGTCGTTGGGGCAGAAGATGTTGTAGTATCTCGCAAAGCTGTAGTGCCTGGGGGTTTAGTCGTTTCAGGAAGTGACTTTGTGGTTTGTGGGAATGTTGTAGTTGGAGGTGACGTCGCTAAAATAAAAAAAAGGCTCGGTTAGTTGAGTATTGGTCAGGTCAACCACCTGAAATGGTTTTGAAACGGTTAGGTTGTTTTTCTCCTTCACAAAAAAGGAAATGTGACAACAATGACATTTGTAGATTGTTTTGTAATGCTTGACTTAATTGCCTTCTTTTTTGTCTGAAAGCGAAATCCTTTGGCGACAAAAAGCTTCGGAACTGTGTTCACACCCTTAGTGTATAGTTATTAACTCTTTACACCCTTACATTAAAATTCAGATTCTCATTATTTGTTGTACCTATAGGTTTTCTTTAGAAGTTGTGAGGGGAATTTTTGAAGTATCAATTAGAGTCATCTTGTTCGATCATTTCCTTAATTCGCATCACCAATATGTCTCCGAAGAGTTGCTATTACAAGGAGAAATTTGATGATGATGATGATGATGATGATGATGATGATGATGATGATGATGATGATGATGGTGATGAAATTGTACATCCACGTTGTGGTCAATTTACAGCTGTTTAAACAGCACATCCGCAGACTAGTAAAATATGATCATATTGCGCGTTCATGTGTCGACCCATCGATGTGCCCTGGTTTTTTTTTTTTTGAAGTTATCCGCTGACTAGTTCCTAGTTTTCAACTGATCGCAGGCTGAACTCTAAATGGATTTCTTTGCGATGGCTACAAGTTTACTGTTTGAAGTGAATAATATTATGAATTCACTAACGGCAGGTTTGCTGTTAGCCTTGGGTAAATCTATATATTACAGTGCATCGAGGCTTACTTGGACAATCGCGAACCGTGCACCCTTCTGTCTGAATTGGTAATCCAACACAGTACACGTTACCACCAGGTGGTGGTGGAGGATTGTTGCACAGGCGTGCTCGAGTCCTTATACCTCTTCCACAAGTTGTACTACAGGTAGTCCAACTGCCCCAGTTTGACCAATTTGGTGCTGCAACGTAAAAAGAAAAAAGACCACTGTTAGAACCTGAAAGGATGTGAGTTCCAAGCCTGTACCAGACTTTCGGTCAGTGAGCAAGCAGTAAAATAGCGAATGAGCGAAAAAAGTTAGGAGGAAAGAAGGGGGCAGCCTGTAAGCATCTTTTCCAATATTCAAATACGCCCACTTCTTGAAAAACAGTTTCTCGTGACAAAATTTCAAATGTCAAAACGTCGAAAGGTGCGGTGTAGGAGGGTTTCACATGCTCGACATGTTTGTTAGGATCTGCGCGCAGGAAGGCAAATGATTGGCGAACAGTCAAAATTGACCAATCATAGGGTATACCAGGTATGGTATACTCTATGAGGTATTGAAAACAATGCTTATAGGCTCCACTACTCTTGCTTTCAGGCAGCTTTCCTCACTATCTTGGAACCTGGAACAGGTCATTGAGTGTCATAATGTCAAATCATTATTGTAAATCCATGCGTTTAGGACATGCGTTTGTTTGTTGGTGGTGTTGGTCAACATTACCTCGTGACCATCAACAACAAATTGCTGATAATTCAAGGTTAGGAAAATTTAATACTAGTCTCCCACGCAGCCGTTTTTGTGGGGAGAAGCGTCGAGTGACGAGACAAAAGGAGACTATAATGAAACAAGGTGTCTCACGCATTCATCGTAACAACTTCGAATATACCAACTTCATTATGATATGACTTGGTGTCACGGTCACCGCCAAATGTTTACCTTTGCAATGAACAATTATTGGACGAGGTTTTTTGTGACATTCACAATGATGAAGGTCGAGGTAAGTGTTGTCACTTGATAACAACCGCGACCTTGATTATTGCGGACAACACAAAAACAGAATCTAACATTGTTTTATTATACATTGTTTTGAAATAACAACACACACACACTGTTGCATGGACAAAGTCTTTCATTGCTCTTGGAAATCATGTATTGCGCGCCAAACCTAAAGATAAGCCGTTAATCTACTAGCAGATAACTAACTAATCTGTTGGTTGCGCTGCTTTCCTAAATAAACTGTAGGCTCTTAACCGTAATGAGAAGAAAGATGATGAGTACAATGTATAACAATGCCAATTAACTGTATAACACGATTCCTGAACTTATAAATCTAGGAAAGTTACATACTTACGGCAATTAGTATTACTACAAAACTGATCTTCCTTTACATGCCCTTGGCATGGTCTCCCTCCAAATGCTGGAGCGGGATTGGTGCAGCTTCTAGTCCTGGTTGTGACCTGATTACAGGAGCACTGACTCCATGAACTCCATTGAGACAAACCTCCATCCACGGGCGTTGGTGCTGCAGGTGGCGACAGAAATCTATGAGTACTACATTATAAGTTTCTGGGAAACTGCCCACCTGTCCCTCCCTTAAGTCAACATTCTGCCCTAAGGTGAAAAGTAAGTGTTGATGTTGGCTTACGGGAAGGGTAGGTGGGCAGTTTCACAGACACCTATAATGATTCATACATGAGGGTCTTAAAAAAACAGTTCCCATTTTCGCAAAGACACTCTCTCTAGACATTGCAAGACCTTACAACCTGCTTATATCTGAAAATATTTCAAAATTTCTTAATTGAAAAGCCAACACAACCTTCAAAACACAACAGTTAATATAAATTAAAACAGAAGTCATTATGTTTCTTCAACTCATGGTCAAGACTAATTATTTCTTAGTAAACCGCCAACCGTCAAAAGTTCTAAAACTTATCCATCAGCTGTCAAAAGTTGAAAAAGTTAACCGTTAACCGTCAAAATTACCACCCTATTTGAACCCTCATATACCATTCAAACTAAAAGCGCAGTCACAATGGAGGGCGCTTTTACTTTTAATTTTTCTCGGGATGTGGGGTAGGAAAAGGGCGTGGGGGCCCTGAGAGAATATAGGGGTTGGAGTGGTACGTGTGTTGGGAGATGTATGGGCGGAAAGAGGGAGGTCTAAAGGGGTGGGAAGTGGGAGAACAGAGGCTATAGGGAACGAACAAAGGACAAAGGCTATAGGGTGGAAACCAAGAAAAAAAGTGGCGGGGCCGGAAATGCAAGGTACGAGATACTGGAGGATTCGAATTCTCCGCCTCACACCCCCCCCCCCCCGCCTTCCCCATACACCGGCTCTCCCTTTTATACTTGGAAACGGTTCCTACAATGTTTTTTTTTTTGTTTGTGTTTTTTTGGGACGACCAATCCTCTTCCCCTCTTTCTAGATAATATTACACCCTTCACAGGAAAAACAACAAAGACCTAACCTTTGCCTAGGTAGTGTGAAACCGCTGGATGGTTGCGATTCTGAAGCATACTCCCGTTTTCAAGGGAGTGTGCCAAAAATGATGTTGTT